GCCCGGTGCTCACAGCCACCGGAGGGAGAAGCCCTGACTGAGGCCGAGGCCGAGGCCGCTCACCGTGAGGACCTGCAGGGTGAGAGGAGAAGCGCGTGAGGCACGGCCTGGGCAGGACGCGGACACAGCCTGCGATGAGCATCCTTTACCCTACCCAGCTCGGCTGAGCTTCTCCAGGTGTCCCTCACACCGGTTCCCCACCACCACAGCTGGGAAAAGACCCTGGAGTCCCCAGCCCTCTTCCATGCTGCCCACTCCTCTGCTAACCCCTGCCACAACGGCTGGGAGAGGAAGGATGGAGATCCCCGGCCATACCTGGTTGTCCAAGTAGGAGAAGGGCTTCTCCTGGCCGTTTAGGATGACCTTGCTGGGGGGCTCCCGAACGCCGAAGATGCTCAGCGTGTCAATGGTGACGTACGTGGCCTCCGCACTGGCATGGAGGACGGTGGAGGTGAAGATGTTCTGGAGTGGAGGCAAAGAGGTGAGCATGAGGCGGCTGGGTGCCCCTGGCAGCAGGGAGACCCGTCCAGGGCTCATCCTGTGCTGTGGGTACTACGATGGGACAGCAGCCCCGTCGCCCTCCCCACTGGGCCCTACCTGCGTGACGTTGAACACCAGATAGGAATAGCTGCCCCGCTCAAAGGTGTCCAAGCTCTCGCCATCATCCCAGAAGAGGTCACCCCAGGCGGTGGCACTCTGGGACAAGGCCACGATCAGGCGGAGTGGGTTCCCTCGGCTTGCCTCGCTGGTGATCCCAGGTTTCTGGGGTCCAAAGAAATGGGTGCTGTATGGCAGGCAAGTGCCCGGGAGAAGGGGTGGGAAGGGCCATGGGGTGGGATGGGGGAGCAGAGGCGCTAGGTGGGACATTGCATCCCAGATCTGGTCCCCACCAGAGGGGACAAGACATCTCATGCAGGGCCTAGAGACTGGGCCTAGAGACTGGGCAGGAAGGCCAGGCAGAAGGGAGCCTCACCTGGGTGGGGAGGATGGCACCCTCCCGGACATGCAGGTTGAGGTGGTCCAGAGGAGCCAACATCTTCAGCATCTCCCCACTGCTGTTCACGGACGAGCCCTGGGCAGGCAGTGGGAGACACGGGTGTGAGGAGGAGCAAGGGGATTTGGGGCGGCTCAGACACAGGTTTGGGGCTTCCAGCCCTGCCACACAAGCACCACGTCTCGCTGAGAAGATGCTCTAACCCTTCTGCAGCCTCTGAGAGTGGGAGGTCCTTCCAGCACCTCCCACCACCCCTTTCCCCCATTCCCTCTTCCCCTGAATCTTGTCTGAGCTCAACCACTGGCACATCTCCCCAGTCCCCAGGGCTTTCAATGCGCAGCCTAAGGTGGCTTCTTCCTTGCAGTGCTTGGACCAGCTGAAACCCGGTGCACCCGCTGCTCAGCCCACAGTGCTCCTCACCGTGTAGAAGTCGTACCACACGCCTCGGGGGAAATAGCCCATGACTGAGTCTGCCCCAGGCTCCAGCACCGGTGTCACCAGCAGGCTCCGTCCCCACAGGAACTGCCTGTCTATCCCATAAGTGGTCACATCCTGGGGGAACCTGGAGTGGGACAGGGATGCTGCTTGGATGGGACGTTTCTCCACCAGCAGCAGCGATCCCTATCTCCTCCGAACCACTTAGCCAAAGCCAGCTTCTTGCCAGCTCTCAGCTGGGGGTCGCGTTCACACCTGGGACAGCAGCAGCCAAGGGTCTGGCTTGTGGGCCCTGGGACAGCAGTGAGGAGGGGGCACAGACCCTCCTGCCAGTTGGTGGAGATGGCACCCATCAGCCCGTGAGAGCGGGTGCCAGCAGCTTGGCTCAGACGGGAGCCAACCCATGGTCTCAGGGGGCGCCCGGGCTCCCGCATGCCCCGGCTCTTACTCAAAGAACAGGGGCCGGGCAACGGTGTCTCCTTGCAGGTGGGCACGGTGGAAAAGCGTGTAGAGGAAGGGCAGCAGGGAGTAGCGGGTCAACAGCACATCCTTCATGGCTGTCCGTGCCGCAGGGCTGAACACCGTTGGGTCTTGGGCCTGTGGGAGACATGGGGAGTCAGTGGCCACCCCATTGCCACCCTCCCCTTCCCACCCCAGGGCTGGACACGCTCCCCTCCACCTTCTCGTTCTGAGTGTTGTGGTTCCGGGCAAAGGGGTAGAAGGCGCCAAGCTGCATCCAGCGGGTACACAGCTCCTCCGAGGTGCTGCCGGAGAAGCCGCAGATGTCCGCCCCGACCAGCGGGATCCCAAAGAGGCTGAAGCTCAGCAGCCCTGCAAACATGCAGGCAGGGACATTCAGCAGGGTAGAGGGAGTTTCGGGGTCCCTCTGCCCCAGTCTCTCAGGCGGGGGACATCTCCGGATGTCAGGGTGTCCGACCAGGATAAGTGGAAGGTGCTGGGCGCTGCTGGGGAGTCTCCAGGGAGGAAGAACAGCACTTCAAGACTTTCACCCACCTGGGATGGAGAAATACATGTCCTTCCACTGGCTCTGGTTGTCACCCAGCCAGTGCCCTGAGTAGCGGCCCTGGCTGGGGAAGGTGGAGCGAGAGATGACGAGCGGGCGCTTCCCTCGGATCTGGACCAAGGCGCTGGAAGACAAGGGGAAGACAAGGAGGTGAGGGCAGACCCCAGGGGCTTGCCTCACCCCCTGAAGGCCGAGGGACAGCTCTGGCTCCCGCCAACCCCATCACAGCTCTCCGACCCATCCCGCAGGCTGGGAGCAGCTGGAACATCTCCCCTTTGCGTCAGGCGCTCAAATCCGGCTCTGATTTTCCGTATAGGCCTGGCTGTGATGGCCCCTGACCAGCAGGATCTGCCCCTGTCCTGCCCTCAGAGCCGGAAGGACATGGGTGTTCGGGCAGGGCTCATGGGTACCTTGCTGTTGCTTTGGCTTCCATCAGCCCGTAGAGATTGTGGAGGTTGTAGTGCACCGAGGCACTCTGCTTCGCCGAGGCGCACACCGTCTTTGCGGAGAGTGAATCTCCCAGCACAGCTGCCAGGGAGGGAGAGACACCCTTGACAAGATGTCACACACAGCAGGGGGGACGGGGATGACACCAACGCACGCAGTCCTCCCACGCTTGCTAGCCACAGGCCAGGCCTCCACCCGCCTCCACGTGAAGGAGATGGGCCACCGCTGCAAACAGAGCACCAAGGGCTCACTGCGGCCTGGGGGAAATCCTCGCTGAGCTACCACTGCCAGAGCTGGGCCCTTCCCTTGCTCCGACATAGCCGTGTGCAAGCGCTGATTTAAGAGCTAAGGACTAGATGGGAGCGTGGAGGTGTCTCAGAAGGTGCACAGTGCCTGGCTTTAAAAACTGAATCCACCTGCACCCCACAGACCCCCTAAAAGGCCGGGCAGGCAGGAAAACACATTGCAAAAAGAAAGCCTCTGTGTGACTGTGAGCGTACAACACCTGTAAATGGTTACCTGTACACACAAGTGTGAATGGACATACTCAGGGTGTAAAATACAGACACGATGTCTCTTAAAAATAGCTGTTCCCTCATAGCGCTCAGCACCTGGCAATTTCAAAGCATGCCATACCTACCGACGCAGCCTTTATTTCATCTCTCTCCTTACCTGGCACGTACGGTGGGTTATCGAGGTCTCCCGGGGGGCAGCCGTCTTCAGACCCATCCATGAAGTTGGATGGCTCATTCATGTCCTAAGCAAAGAAAATTAAGGTGCAGTTTTGGGCAGGAGGCTTTAGGGATTAGCGGACAGTGCTCAGTCCCCTCCAACCTTAAAGACGGCACAACCCAAACTCATCTTGATGTTGTATTTCCTGCCTGAACCACTGGGGTTGGTAATCCATCTCATATTTCAAAAGCTAGCAGCATCACTGGTCCCTGTCTACACAATTCAAATAGCAGCAAAGAGCTGAGCTCCTCTTTGCCCAGTGCACATGCAGGTGAGCGGGTCCATGGTGTGGGTGTCCTTCCAGCAACCACAATAAACCAAATTGCCAAATGCAATAAACCTGGAGAAGGAGCATTTGAGGGACCTACGATCCTCCAGGGACTGGTGAGAGAAACATGCAACGGCCGCGAGCCGAGCCGCATGCAGCAAGGACCCAGCTGGGGGTAACCCAGGGAGGCAAGGAAGGACTTACGATCCAGAGGCCATCGAAGGGCACCTGGGCATGGAAACGCTGCAGGTTCTCCAGCCACCACTGATGGGTGTCCTGGTTGGAGAAGTCTGCGAACGCAGTGAAGCCAGGCCACACCTGCAGAGAGGCCAGAAAACAGCACCCTCAGCAGACTGACGTCTCACGGGTCACTGCTTCGGGGAGAGAACGCACGTGGGGCGCCCAGTCCAGCTGCAGGAAGAGCAGCCCTTGCTCCCCTGGCCCTGCGGCGCACACAGGGTTGTAAGTGTGCTGAAGGGTCAGGGAGCAAAACAGGCGATAAAACAGAAGATTAGGGCCGACTACTTCAAGTTCCCCATCCTACTGCAGTATCTGAAGATGTCACCACGCTCAGGTGCCCTCAGCGTCCCTCGGAGGCAATCTCTGTGCCACAGACGGATGAATGGAGGCGAGGGAAATGAGCAGGAAGTCTGTGGCTGAACAAGCCCAACTCTCCTGGGCTGTTTTTTCAGTGCCTTCCACTTGCATAATCGCTTACACAATCTAACCTGGTGCTGTGCTGGGAGTCAGTGAAGAGCTGTGATTTCACTGTGCTGTGCCTCACTCCAGGAATTTTAGCTTCAGAGTCAATTAATTTTCCCCAGCGTTTTTAGCCTCTGTTAAAAGTCACGAGATGGCAAGAGACAGCTGGGACGAGCAAATAGCTTAGAAGATGGGGCAAACTGGGGAAGCATCGCTGTGAATTTGGAATAGTCAGGAGCAGATCTTGAGGCACTTGTCCATCACAGATAACCTCTCCTCACCCCAGAAACAGGAAGAGAGAGAAATCAGATGACCAGCCACAGGCAGCACCACAGGCTCTGATCTGTTACACTCATATGACTTCCACGGGTCCCTGCAGACTCCCGTTGGGGCAGGAACAGACTCTGGAGGTCGGTAGAGAGGCCACAAGGTGAAATACGCATCCAAGCTAAGGAAAGCTGAGAGGGCTCCTCGGGACAGAGCCAGACTGGCAGTCAGCCCAGAGAGGTCCCTCAACCACTTGGCTTTCCCTCTTGCGTTAGGGAAGAAAACCTGGCCCTGCTAATGCCAAACCCTGAGAGGGCTGGGATTTCCCCTAGCTGTTCCTAACCAAAGATTTTCTTACCTGTCCTATTAGTGGCTGCCCTTGGGTGGTGTTTATGAACAACCCCTGTCTCAAGCCTTCATCAAAAGGCCAGTAGGAGCCGTGAGGGTTGGTGCTGCTGATACCGGGATCCTGAAAACAAATCAGAAGGTTAATGTCTTCCCCAGCAGATCTTGGCCCCTTCCCCCAGCACTATCAGCGTGATTTCAGAGAAGACAATGAGCAAGTTTGGGTCAGCCGGAGCTCACACACGGCTGCTGTTTTAACCAAGAGGAACAGAAACCTGCTTCAACACTTCCAGGCATACTTTCTAAAATGTCACTTCTGCAAGTACCGAGGACTAGTTACAGTGCTTTGGGGAGGGGGGGACAAACACAAGAAATCATGCACTTGTGCAAGAAACGTCAGGTGACAACAATGCTTGAACAGAGCTGTTTAAACAGACCCAGGGAACACAACCTTTCCTGCCCCAAGAGCGCTTTTCCACCCCAGGACCCCCTGGTCTCCCCTGCCTCAAGCAAGCAGAACCCACATCCCATTTACGAACAGAGGGAAGATGGGAGATCCCAGCTGGGTCACAAGATCCCAACAGTTGCAGGGAAACGGAGAGTCCTGAGTCCGAGTTAACCAGCCTGACCTATAGTCCTGTTTGTCTGTCCTTGGGGGACTGGGACCCATGGATCCTTTTATTCCTGAACCACACATGAAGACAGCAGGATAACCTGGCCTGCATCTGAAGAGCTCCTTGCCATTAGGGGGATTTCCACTTGTACAGCTTATGGACTTCTGCCAAGCGCTGGCGCAAGCACCATGCCCAGCCACAGATAAAAATCCTTGGCCCTGGAGGCAGCTAATGCAGTGCAGATGGTAGGCCGGCAGACGCCAGTCGGGGCCATGAGCAGTACCTACACCTCTGGCTTAGTCTGCTTTGCAGCCTGACTACTCAGCCCGGCTTTGAAGTGAAAGACAGCCCCTACCACATGGTAGGAGGGGGAGACTAACTGGAGTACCAGAATCATAACGTAGCGCTGGCCATGTTTGTGGAGGTCTTCCACCAGCGAGGGGAGGGAGGCAAACTTCTCAGGATCGAAGGTGAAGTCCCGGTATCCGTCCATATAATCAATGTCATTCCACTGTGCGTCCTGCAGGAAAGAGAGGCTCAGAAACACAGGGGCAGAGCCCCAGCTTTCCTGCGGTGTGCCTTGATTTTACCTGTGGGATCTGGTAATTCCTCATGGCTTTCACAGTCTGCCAGGTTTCATTGCTTGATCCATACCCCCAGCGGCAGAGGTGGAAACCTAGTCCCCAGAGAGGCGGCATGGCTGGGAAACCTGGAGCAAGGCAGATGCACCCAATGGAGGCCAAGACAAGAGCAACGTTGTGAAGGGATAGAAGAGGAAGAGGAAGAATGAAAAAGAGGCGACCAGTGACACCTGATGTCCTGGGAGGGTTTCTGAGGAGATGGGCTGAAGGTGGCGAGGCAGACGTGATACAGGGCTGGGACGAGGGGAAAGCAGAAGGAGGTGGTCACTTACCTATCACCTGCTGGTACTGCTGGATAACCATGTTAGGATCAGGCCCCAGGAAGATGTAAAAATCCAAAACACCCCCAATGGTCCTCCAGGTCAGGGCTGGGGCAGGCTGCAGAGCCACCTCTTCAAAGGAGGAGAAAAGACAGTGAGACCCAGGGGAGCAACACCACCAAAGGGAGACCCGAGGCACAGGCTGGGATCAGAGTGTCTCAGGCAAAGTCAACCTCTGGCAGCAGACAAGGAGAAACCCTTGTCTCGGACTCTCCTGATGCTGAATGCATGTCTGGAGGTACAAATCATTGCAGCTGGTGGATAATTCTGGTTTATACAGTTAGGAAGTTCTCTATTTTAAGAATTTGTTCTATAGGCTGAAACCTGTACCATTCTCCCAGCTTCCATGTGAAGGTCATGTTTGTTGCTTTCCTTCACATCCTCCCCAAAATCCTCTCCCAAGCACAGTCTAAATTGAGAGCTACTTGTATGCGTGAGAGAGCATACGGGAGCAAGGGCTTTCCTGGGAAGGGCTTTTCACATGAATCAGTCCTCAAACCTCAGCTAGAGCTGATGCCTTTTCACAGGGCTCCCCTGAGGACTCATCCTTGGGAGCATCGCTGCAATAAAACGTAGCGCAGCTGGAGCCGAGAGCCCTGGTGTAAGCAGGCTCGCAGCCATGCAGACCCAGATGGCTCTACGCGGCGGCTGCTGGGAGGAACGTGAGAGCGCTGGTGCCCTCCCTGATACGGCAGGATCCTGCTGGAGCGCAGCCTGGTGCTGCCATGTTACCCACACATGCGGCAGTGCCAGGCCCCTGCTTTGCAGCGGCGCATTGTACAGGCAACAGCTGACATCGGCAGGACGAAGCGGCCAGCCTTTGAGGCTGCTATCCCTGCCTGCACCAGGGTCGAGGCACACCATCGAGCTTTGAGGCAAGGCCTTTTCAGGAGGGCAGGGAATGGGCAGAGACCAGCACACAAGGGGCTTGCTTTTCCGATGGCAATTTGGCAGCTGGGCGTGTGGTTAAACTGCTCGGCAGTTGCTAAAGAGCCTCCCTTTAGCCAGGAAACAGATGGCTAAGCTCAATAACGGAGCCATGAAACCACATCTTTCCCTTTTATGGCTTCCTCTTGCCCCAAGTTCCTGAACCACCCGCTCCGGTCAGCCCCCCATCCGGCCAGGTCACGCCCCGCGACCCGCCATGGCCCTTCCCCGGGGACGAGGCACGGCAAGGCCGCGGGCCGAGGAGCCCAAAACACCTACCCATCGCGTTGCTGTTGAGGAGGAAAACACCGTGAGCATCTCCACCCTGCTCCATCACCAGGTAAAAGGGGTGAGCTCCATAGAGGTTGAATGATTCCTGCAAACAAGAGTCGCCTGGTTGAGATAGCAGCTCCCGGGCTGCGATGACTGCACGCTGCGTGGGGCCCTCCTGCCTGGGCAGTCCATGCTCAGGGGCTGCTGCTGAGCTGCGTCAGATGTGAGGGAAACCTCCTGGCCAAAAGCAGCTTCACCGCAACCTGTTGCATGAAGGCCAGGGTGCAGCAGAAGGCACTCAGGGTCTTCAGAGCACTGAGCATTTTGCAATTGCTCTGAAATCCTCCCCTGGCCCGTATCTCCCTGTCAGCCTTGTTGCAGCTCAGCCTCCTCCTGGGGACACTGGCACCACCAGGGCAGCCGTGGGAGGCCTGGGGAAGCGTGCAGTGCCCATGAACCGTAGCCCAGAGCCCCTTGCCGTGGCCCGCAGCAGCACAGGACAAGCTGCCATGCCAGCCTCTGACGGCCCCAGTACCGTTACCGAGCCCTGGGGCTGTTTTCCCAGGGCTTGTCCCATGCGCTGTACAGCTCCAGCCTCATCCTCGCCCTGTGCCCGCCAGCAGAGGAGGGAAGGGTACCATGGGAGAGACATCCCGGGCCCACAGCGTCAGGGTGCTCCAGTTGAGGCTGTGCAGGAGGTTGCTGCGATGCTCCCCCAGCCCGTAGAGGAACGGCGATGGGAGGGCAGTAGAAATCTGGAGAAACTGGTCAGCAAAGATCAAG